TTGACGACTATTCGAGATATGGTTATGTTTACCTGATGCAACAAAAATCTGAAACTTTTGGAAAGTTTAGAGAATTCCGAGCCGAAGTTGAAAAACAATTAGGTAAACCAATCAAGACACTTCGATCAGATCGACGAGGTGAATATCTGGACCAAGAGTTCCAGGATTTCTTGATTGAAGAATGTGTAGTATCCCAATTGATTGCACCCGGTACACCACAGCAGAATGGTGTAGCCGAAAAGAAAAATCGGACTTTGCTCGACATGATAAGATCAATGTTGAGTTATTCTTCACTGCCTACTTCATTTTGGGGTTATGCCCTGAAAACCGCTATGTATATTCTGAATCTAGTTCCATCTAAATCTGTACCTAAAACACCTCTAGAGTTGTGGAATGGTCAAAAACATAGTTTAAGACACATTCGCATATGGGGGTGTCCAGCACACGTGCTGAGGCAAAAGACCGGGAAGTTGGAACCAAGGTCAGAAGTATGCATCTTTGTGGGATACCCGCAAGGGACAAGAGGAGGACTGTTTTATAGTCAAGCAGATCAAAAGGTGTTTGTATCGACAAATGCCACTTTTCTGGAGCATGACTATATGATAGATTTTAAGCCCAGAAGTAAAATAGTATTGGAAGAGTTACTTTCCAATGAGATCGGACCACAACCGACAAGAGTTGTCGAACCACTCAGAGAAAAAGACCACAGTTCCTAATTAGACTCCTAAGGCACCTCGTCGTAGTGGGAGGGTAAGCATGTTATCCGACCGGTATACCGGGGAAGCCCAAATCGTCATTGCTGATGACGATAAGGAGGATCCATCGACCTTTAGGGATGCGATGGATGATTCTGATAAAAAAAATGATAAGCAGCTATGAAACTCGAGATGGAGTCTATGTACTCTAACTCGGTCTGACAACTTGTGGATCTACCCGAAGGGGTAAAACTCATTGGATGCAAGTGGATCTACAAGAGAAAGAGATGAGTGGATGAAAAGTAGAGACTTATAAAGCAAGACTAGTGGCTAAGGGTTATACCTAAAAAGATGGAGTTGACTATGAGGAAACTTTCTCGCCAGTAGCTATGCTTAAGTCCATCCGGATACTTCTGGCCATTGCAGCATATTTTGACTATGAGTTATGGCAGATGGATGTCAAGACAGCTTTTTTGAATGACTATCTTGAGGAAACCATCTATATGGAACAGTCAGAGGGTTACATAGAGGAAGGTTAAAAGCAGAAAGTCTGCAAACTGCAGAGGTCCATTTATGGAGTGAAGCAGGCTTCTAGATCATGGAACATCAAGTTTAATGAGGCTATAAAGTCTTATGAATTTGATCAAAATATTGATGAACCATGCGTCTACAAGTACAAGAAAGAAGAGAATGTGGTCTTCTTAATTCTTTACGTAGATGACATCCTACTCATTGGGAATGATGTGGGATTGATGACAGATGTAAAGGAGTGGTTAGCCAACCAATTCCAAATGAAAGATTTATGAGAGGCAAGCTATGTTCTTAAGATTAAGATTATTCGAGATCGCAAGAAAAAGCTTTTGGCGTTGTCACAGGCATCTTATATAGACAAAGTATTGTCTAGGTATTCGATGCAGAATTCCAAGAAAGAGAATTTGCCTTCTAGGCATGGTATTCACCTTTGTAAGAAACAATATCCAAAGACTCCATAACAGGAAGAAGATATGAGACGGTATCCCAACGCTTTGGCTGTGGGAAGCGTTATGTATGCCATGTTGTGTACAAGATCAGATATCTGCTATGCAGTGGGAGTGATCAGTTGCTACTAGTCCAACCCAGGATTAGATCATTGGGTTGCAGCAAAGTGTATTCTCAAGTATCTTAAGAGAACGAGAAACTATATGTTGATATATTCCGGAGAACTGTCTCTCACCGGATACACAGATTCCGATTTTCAATCGGATAGAGATAGTCGACGGTCGACATCTGGATCTGTGTTCACTCTTTCTGGAAGAGCCGTGGCATGGAGAAGTATAAAGTAAAAGTGTGTTGCTGACTCTACCATGGAAGCTGACTATGTGGCAGTTGGTAAAGCCGCAAAAGAAGCTACATGGCTCAGGAAGTTCTTAACTGATCTGGAAGTTGTTCCAGATATGGATAAGCTAATTAAGCTCTACTGTGACAACAGTGGAGCGCTGGCTAATTCAAAGGAACCTAGAAGCCATAAGAGTGCGAAGTATATAGAAAAGAAATATCACCTTATCAGAGACATTGTGGATAGAGGCGATGTAGCGGTTCTGAAGATCGCGTCAGAGGACAACCTTGCTGACCCGTTCACCAAGACATTGCCATTGAATATATTTGATCGGCACTTAGATAGATTTGAGATTAGAGACATGACACACCTACTTTAGGACAAGTGAGAGATTGTTGGGAATAGTGTCCTAAAAGCATGAGATGTAATAGGATATTTATTATTTAATTAATAAAAGAATTTATTCATCATTTTATGTGCATATATTTATAAATATTTTATAAATATCAAATGAAAATTTCGTGATTGTTTATGTAACTTTAAACATAGTATATAAGTGTTATATACAAGAGGATAGCGTTTAAGGATAATAATCAAAAACATTTTTCATGATGAATTTAATTAAAATTCAGAATCTTTAATTAAAACATTATTAATACATGTCATTCCCATTTAGAATGGAACGGTGTTATCCGCACGGTTAATATGGCGAGATATTGAAAGAGAGTATTTCGCATAATAAGATTATGTGGAACAAAGACAAAGACACAATATGAATTTCTAATAATTTCCGTTAAGCGTAGAAATTCTAATTGAGTCTACCGATAGTCATATATAAGATAATCTTAATCATGAGTTCTTAACAAACTCTTATTTATGGATTTATGTCTTTTGATTTACTCGGTACGGATTCCGAGACCCTGAATCATATTTCTTGTATTTTGGAGACATAATGAAATAGGTAGCTGTGAATGTTATTATACGAGATGGAATCCATTCCTTCTTGAGAAAGAAGTAGATAAATAATTCTCTTGAGTGTTGATTCGGTATTTGGATTAGTAAGAGCGCTCTGGTTCATGAATGTGTTTTATGAATCACTATTCATTAGAGAATTAATAGTACTCAATGATGCAGATATAATTAGAGAGGTTAACGGATTCTACCTGACTCTAATTATGAATTATTTATGGAGGATTGATCTATATGTAATGACTATATCAAATGGACACTTCGCAGTTTAGAAGTAATTAATGTCTATAATTTCGAGAGTTCAACTCTAAGTTTATAGTGGAGTAACTATTGAAATTAATAAAATTAGTTAATTAATTAAAGTGTTTAATTAATTATTAATTTTATTGGAGCTCGGGATTATAGGTTCATATGTCCCCGCGTCGTCCTTATAATTCTACCAGACACAAAAGGCAAAATGAAAATTTTAGAATTACAGAATTCTAAAATTAAATAAACAAAAAATAATTAATTGAGAATTAATTATTATTATTTAAATAATGTGATTATTTAAATTTGAATTTGAACACATCTAGATTTATCTATTTAAACTTATTTGATAAGTTGTTCAATTTAGAATTCAAATTAATTTAAGTTTGATTTAAATTCGAATTTGAATCTGAATCAAAATTGGACTACAGGATAAAGGATGATTTTTCTCTTCCTTCCCTATCTGAATTGGCGCCACACACAGGGTTAGGAAACCCTGATATGGCTGGCCACTTAAGAGATAAGGGGAAGGGATTTTTTGTTCAAAATTCAAAATTAGAGATAAAGATTTGATTCTGTTTTGAAGTTGGACTTCTACTCTTTAAATATGAGAATGATAGAAAATTGTGGACACAATTTTTGAAACATTTTTTCAGCCCTAATTGTTGGTAGCCGAAATTCACAGAGGAAAAAGAGAGAGAAAATATTTTTTTTTCTCCAAAAATTCCACATCGTGCATGCGTTGGTGTTTGTGGAAATTCGAGTATTTAAGAAACTTGTTTTGTCTCACGTGTGCCCACACACACGTCTACGTGGAATCAATGAATTGACGTGGAAGACTTTGTATTCTAAACACAAAGATTTGAGCAAGGACTGTTCGTGGTCAAAGAACTCAAGATATCATCCGAGTCGGCTTCCAGGTATTTTTTCCGGGATTGAGTTCTTGATGTAAATTAATGCAATTAATTTATTCGTGCATAAATTAATATAATCTATAGAGTATCTCAAAAGTTTTATGAAAATTTTTGTTATACACGATCCGCCTTCCCGCACCACGCTTCCGCACCCGAATTCGATTCGGGAACCAGCATTTTTCTTATTAAAAAAAAAACAGAGAGAAAGGTCAGTATTTTTGTCCAAAATAGAAAAGGAAAGACCCTGATATTCTGACGTATTTAAAAGTTTAAAAGTTTAAACGTTATGGTCAAACATTTACACATAAACTCACTTTGGGAATGTTATAAGTAGGAATTCTAATATCTGGAAATGTTATTCTGGGACATGTCAGACGTTCTACAGGCGGAAATTACTGTAGAGAATTTCCAGAAAAGAAATTTTATGATTACTTCTTAGCAAATCTTATTCAGCTTTTGCTCAAGGTAGGAGATCAAGGGAAGTCCTGATCGGATTTTCTGAGTGCATCAAGGGAGGGAAGTGAGTCGTTTTCTCTTTTTCTCTCTTTTATGGTCACTGAAATTTTTTCCTTTTTCTTTTTTCTCTCTCAAAAATGATTTGTGCTAAAACTTGTGATGCGCTTGGTCTTCCCTTTTTAATAAATCACAGAAAATGGGCGTGTGTGTGGGGCTCAGTATTAAACTCGGTGTGTGTGTGTGTAGCACAGTATTATACTAATCCATATCTTCTTTAAGAACAAATTGCATAAAACATAAAACATAATGGTAGAACACAAGCATAAGCACACATCAGTCGATGAAAATTTATAAAAGGCAAAACAGAAACAAAAACAAACAAAACAAAATGAGGACTCGTACCTTTGGATACGCTAATATCTCAGCTAAAGGAACCGACAATATCATCTTCAATGCAACATTCAAAGCATCAGCAAGTGCTCTATCACCATAAAGTTCAAAGACACCAAAGTTGACGTAGTTACCAGACAACGCTGAGACAGAAATGAAACCATATAATACAACCAATATCTTATAATAGATGGTAAAGGAGAATTATTATATGAGATTTTCTTCCAAAGTGCTAATTCATATTGGATTAAGTTGATATACACAGCAAAAATCTAGCAATCAATTGAAGCTCTTAAAAAATGGGTTACTCAAAATGGTCATCTATTTAAGTCAACAGGGAAGAAATAAACTAAAGAAATATTGATACCACGAGTCAGAATTGTCAAGCAAATCCAGATTCCTTTGTATTTGGATGTATATATATCTGTTGTGTTCGCAAGCGGTAAAATCCTTGATCCATATGCTACAATCAATTTGCTGACTTCTCGGAAAAGCAATATGCCATTGGGAGAAGATGGATCAAAGCTTAATCTCTGAGACTTGTTTAGCACCAACTCAGCCGTGAATTTCAACAATGGAGTTGTTACCTGCATCGTTTTCTTGGCGCAAAAATTACTTTCAAAATAAAGAAAGCATATATCGCAATTTCTTTGCAATATGTGCATGACAAGATCGCCAAATTATATTGCAAAAGGATCAATAGCATTAGAAATTTTTGTGCTCTACATGAAAGCTCCAAATAGATAAGATAGGCCCCCAAAAAAAAAAAAAAAAAAAAAAAATCTATTTGAAAATACCAAATATCCAAAACAAGTACCTCAAGATTCTAGTCTAAAGCTGTACATTACCTCTGGTACATCAAACCAATGTGATATGGCTTTTAAGAGAAGAGGAGTTTGGGCAGGATAAAGCCAATCAAAAAGGAAGCCATATGTTTTGCGACTATGAAAAAAAAGAGGAAAAATCAATGACATAAGGAAAGCCACAATAAGAAAATAGAAAGAATTAACAACATTATGTGTAAAAATCCTATGCTTGCCAAGGATACCAACCTATTTGTTGCCATTGTAATTCCTCTGAGATCCCGCATCAGACCAATTAATGCATATTTTACAATGTCAGACCGGAATATTGCATCAGGTGTTGATTCCAAGCAAACGAAAACCTATAGCACAACCACAACTCAGAAAATCTAATTGGATGACAGAAGCCAGGCTAACTGTTAAAGACCGTGCTATTGGCAAAATAACATCAGGACATAAATAAACAAATACTAAGCTCTAGACGTGATAACAAACATGATCATGCAACTTTGCAATACTAATTTCAGATGAGGTTGTGCAATCAGATTTCATGTTCAAAAAACTAAAATAACAATTACATTGTTAAACAAATATAGGTAACATTCCCCTCGAAAAAAGAGAAAAAAAAGACTGCTGACACAAAAATAAAAGAACGGAGAAATAGAATTCATACCTGCATCAGAGGTTCCATTGAAGATTTAAATTTTAAGAGGCTGTCCTCCATGAAAATCAACGAGCCAATAGTGTAGTAATAGGTTGTTCTGCTACGAAAACATGTCTGTTCGTCTAGAAAAGGGAAGTGCTTCTTCTAAACAGGAAAATTAAGAACATCACTTAGCTAACTATTTGCTAGATCAAATTTACAAGCATAGTCTAGAAAATAAAAGCAGAGATATGAATACAAAGATCCAATAAGATATTTACATTGTGATGTGAAATTATAAATTTAATGGTATCCAACTTCAGAAGCAGCTTTCCTGTCATATATCTGCCAAAAATTTGCTGGTTACATAAGATATATCACAGAGGAAAACAAATGAGTAATCTCAGTTAAATTAAATTCTTTACGGACAGCACGTACCCAGATGACAATTCCAGGAAAAGGCTTATGGTATGATCAATGACCTCCTTGCACTGCAATTCATGAAAAATCAGTTGCCCAAAAAAAAAAACAAAACAAAACAAAACAAAGAAATATATAAAAATAAAAAACAAAAAGACCCTAATGGGTAAAAGCTACTCTGCCGATAACAGGCATCTCCAAGCGCTCACACTGGGAAAGTTTGTACAAGTTTAAATGAAGCTTGCTAATTTGCCTTACCTGAGTGTAAGACTTAAGATTTGTAGCAATCTTTCCAACAACGGCATTCAACACTTTCAGATGATCATGGAGTCCAACAAGCTTCGATAGTTGATCAAATAGTTTCTGCAATATCGGGAAAGAATGTTAATGAACATGAAGTTGACTGCTCGGTGCCAAGAGTGAAAAGAGATCCACTTACAGTTGAAGAATGCATTGCCTGATCACCAATATATGACTTTTTGAAATTTTGTAAGAAAGTCAGAATCGCACGATCAAGTCTTTGCTTGCTGATTTCACCATATCTCTGCCATCATCGAACAGAATACATAAACCCATATAGATTCTTTTTTCTTTTTGGCTTGAATAAAACCATATAAAGTAAATCAAGAACAAACAAAATTGGGGCATAGTTAGATAAATGTGAGATAGGTAAACATCAGAAATTTCCATTTTAAATTCATTCAGAGCAGCTAGAGAAAGCTCATGCTTAAATGCATATTCAACAAGCTAAGCAATTCCGCCAATTCAAACTTTAACCAAGGCATAATGGGAACTTTAGGTGGACGCAGTGCATACACAAGGAACAGAGACTGAAACACCAGGCTTTCTACAGGAGGACATCCTGGAAGCATTTTCCTTTTCAAGGTAAAAAAAATCAAAAAAAAAAAAGAGAGAGAGAGAGAGAGAGAGAGAGAGAGAGAGAGAGATCATGTCCGTCCCAACATTACTATAACAGTTGAAGCTCCCACAGAAAAATAAAGTGTGCCACATACTTTTTCATACTGAAATCAATCTTGACACATATTCATGTAGAACTGGACATAGAACTGGCCAAATCACCACTCGTATCAAAGTGGAACTGACCAAATCATTACACAATAAATTGGGAAATTCCTTAGTAATAAAATGAGTCATTAAGAAAAAGAAGAAACGACAAAAGCAACAAAAACTAATAACTCTTAGGAGACATCTACATGCACCAAAAGCAATGCAATAAACAGTAAACAACAGAACATTTGGAAGCTGCTTCGCATAAATCACAAATTGGAGAACTTGAAAGGAAAGGTAGAAGCTACTGACGCTACAATCACAAGAGATAATTACTCACTCCCAGTTACAATAGTGAGCCCCTGATGCTACAGAAAACCATCGAGCAATATAACTTACAATCACCCAGGTTATGTGGTTGGACATTATTCATGTGAATGCATGAAAAGGCGCTAGACTTCACACTTAAACCATTAGAACAGCAACGCAGAAACCATATACTTTCTTCCCAACATATACAACAATGTAGCTAGATTACAAAAGAGAGTTGCAAATGCACTTCATCGAGCAATATAACTTACAATCACCCAGGTTATGTGGTTGGACATTATTCATGTGAATGCATGAAAAGGCGCAAGACTTCACACTTGAACCATTAGAACAGCAACGCAGAAACCATATACTTTCTTCCCAACATATACAACAATGTAGCTAGATTACAAAAGAGAGTTCAAATGCACTTGTAACATGATGTTGTGACATCTCATACGTGCAAATAAATTTCACAACAAATTTCATCCACACCATACATTGCTATGTGACATCTACTCCTTAATACCTGTCTGTGTGCCCCATTGTCGGCGACATTCATCAACTGAAAAACACGCGCCGAGAGTTCTGCATCGAGTAGTTCTTGCTGTTCACCACTACAATATGGAAGTAAAGTCAGAACAAAGCATAATACCTCCAAGAACGTATAGCTGCAACCACCATCTTAAACTTTTACCTATACCCAGAAATTTGCCTTGTCTTGAGAATAGCAGCAATAATATGCACTAACCAAGCCAGTTTGGCTTCAGTAATTGAAAGCTCTTTATAATCTCCACAAGCTTGGACATTTGCCAAAAACTGTGCACACCAAAATAATGTTTTTGACAAAATCAACTACCTTGATGATTATTTCACTCAATTCACCATACAAAAATACTGCATTAGACAAACACTGGAGAAGTTTACTCGAGCATACCATATAAATTTGCAAGAAAGGCTCCATAACTTTCATTATATAAGAGCTACAACTTTCATACTGCAATTGGTTAGAAGACATAGACCCCAAGTCAAATTGATAAAAACTAAACATAAAATTGAGCGGAGAGATTTCCAATATAAAAATCCTTTAAGCTTATCAGTTAATAGTGCTTTTGCAACCCGGCTGAAGTTCCTCATATAAGCATGTTGGGGAGTGCAAACCTGAAATCTGCATAGGTAAGGAAAGAAATCAAGCTGATCCTGAAGAAGTTCAACATTGTCAAGTGGGTTCTCAGAAAGTTCATCTGAGAATTCGGACTGCAGTAGAAAAAGGCAGAAAAGAGGGGTCAAGACAGAATGAAACAAAAATTGAGAAAAACCTTCTAAGATAACCCAATCTCACCTCGAGAGAATCAAATCGTGTAGATACAAAGCCTTCAATAATAGTGGGCACATAATTGTCCAGCATGTTTGGTTTATCACCTTTAAAGTAAGGCACAGATGTTACCAGTCTCGACCACAGCCCCAAAACATAGTAAACACTGGTGTTGGCCCACTGAAAAGAGAGATCAACTTCACTGTTTCAGACATATTTTCCTTTATCAAAGGGAAAAACGAAAAAACTAACTTCTTTAGAATATACTAAAAGAGATGGATGAACCTGCCAAGAACGTAAAGACTTCATTGTAAACTCTACTATCAAGCATATCCAATCATAATAGCCTTCGGTATTGACAAGTTCCGCCAACTGCAGCAAAAATTACAAATTAGGAGTTATAGATACCACGACTAACATGACACTATGCTCATAAATTATGAAAAAGAGAAAATGGATAAATACAAAGCGTCAGGTGGGAGAAACGCTATCTAAAATTATGTCAAATAAGTTTTCCCTCAGTAAGCTAACTAACTTTTAGGCAACAGGAATAAAGAAGATACATCTGACAATGAAGCAACTTAAAAAGTATGCTGATAGAAAGTAGTGAACTTGTCCAATCACAATTTTCAGCTTCACACCCTTTACTAGGTCTATCAAATAAACAGGTATCAAAACCTTGTAATGCAGGGGGTGAGGGGAAGATTAATTTGCAAAGAAAAAATGAAAATACTGACTTTTGACCTTGCATAGGGAAATTATATTCGTACAAAACAGAAATAAGGTGTTAGGATCCTAGTTGAGTCCTGCTAAAGTATGGGCTTAGCATGTGGGTTTATAACCACTTGGGCACCCTCTCCCTACAAGCTAGCTTTTGGGGATGAGTTCTACCCAAAGGTTGTAACAATTGGTATCAGAGCATGCCCCACCTCGGGCCCACGTTGCGGAAGGGGCGACCTAGGGAGGAGCGACCTGGAAATGCCAGAGTGGGCCATCCAGAGTAGGCCGCCGTGGATGTCGGTGTCGGAAGCATGGTGGTATGTTAGGATAGAGATGTCAAATGGGCCGAGCAGTACAGCCTGTAACAGTGACGGGTTCGGCACGGCCCGGTACGGTACTGTTACGGGCCGTGCCAGCCCGGCACGTTTGATGGGCTAGGGCTGGGCCGCGGCTTCTCAGCCCGCAGCTCAAGCCCGACCCTAGCCCAGTTCGGCCCAAGCCCAATTCAGCCCGCGAAACGGCCCTTTTTCGGCCTGGCCCAGGCACACGTCCAGCCCGCAAGACGGCCCGCGAAATCCTTCTCATCCCGTGAGGATTGTGACCGTTGGGCCCTCAACGATCGGCCCCTGATGGGCCTGCCTTTAGGCCCGTCACGGGCCGACTGTTGGGCACGCGAAGGGCCCAACGGTCACAATCTGAAAATCAGCCCCAAAAACCCCTATAAATACCCATTAATCCGACACAACAATTCACTCTCAACTTCTCGTCTCTCTCTCATTCTATCTATCATCTTGTCTCTTTGATTTTGATTTTAAGCTTTTCTCTCGCGATCACTCATTTACTTGCTCTTTCACTTACAAAGTTCAATCAATTTTCAGAAATTGGTCACATCAAATTTTCTTGATTTCACTGCTCTCCCTGAGCTTGGTGATGAGCTATTTTTCGATGATGAAATGCTGCCTCACAACCCCACTCCCACTGAACCGAAAACTGCTCCGGTTGATAATGCTTCAGTGCACAATGAGGAAGTTAGAGAACGTTGCAGGGGAAAAAGACAGCGAATTGCTCTTGCATGGCAGCATTTCACTGAGGAGCCCCGACCAAATTCAAAAACAGGTAAAATAAAAATTTGTGCGGTATGTAAATATTGTAAAAAGCACTTTTCTAATAAAAATGGTGGGGGTATTGGTCATCTGAATAGACATTAGAAAGCATGTCTACCGTTGCACCAATGTGGGAGTGTGGACTCCCACCAATAAACATTATCACTCACATCACAAGGGTTGTAAAATTTTACATACGATGAACAACGTGCTCGTGAGGCACTAGCTAAATTTTTAGCTAGTACCGAATTACCTCTTTCTTTTGCAAATGATGCGGCGTTCGAAGAATTCATACAGATGGCCTTCTACCCGCAATTTAAACGGGTAAGTAGAAGCACAACTCGTTCTGATTGCATGAAAGTGTTTTATACAATGAGACAATCTCTAGTTGATAATTTTTGGTCTTTTAATGCTACTATATCTTGTACTTCTGATCTTTGGGAGAGGTGTAATAAAACTGAATATTTATGTGTCACGGCGCATTATTAACAATGAATGGGTTTTACAAAAGAGAATAATAGGTTTTCGTTTATGTCAATTTCCTCATAACGCAAATGCTATTTTTAGAATAATAATTGATATTTTTGGGTTTTATGGGATAGAAGATAAAGTTTTAACTATTACTTTTGATAATGCGTCAGCTAACACGGCTGCAATTAACATGTTTAAACGTAGTTTGAAACCAGCTTTTGGGGGAAAATTTTTCATCAATGGTGTACGTGTCACATAATAAATTTAGTAGTTCAAGCAGGAATTGAACATATTTCCTCTAATCTAGCAAATATTAGAGAATCTTTATCCTTCATATTTAATTCTGAAGCTCGGCTCCAAGAATTCAAACAATATTGCAAGAATAGTCAGATGCGCCCAAGAAAGTTCCCAACTGACGTGAGACATAGGTAGAACTCCACCTATTTAATGTTGAAAGCTGCACTCCCATATCAACAGCTCATCACAACATAAGTGAATAGTAAGAAAGATCAGCTTTTAATTTTCGATACAGATTGGAAGATTGGTAAGTACTTTTTTAAATTTCTAGAAGTTTTCTACAATGCTACTAAATTACTTTCTGAAATTTATTATCCTACTACACATTTAGCTTTGCATCAACTCTTTAATATTTCGGAAACATTTTCTTTTTATAGGGATACTGAACTATTTGGAACATAGCTAAGCTAATGGAAACTAAATTTAAAAATTATTGGTCTGGTTGCCCTATGTTATATACATTGGCAACCATTTTAGATCCTAGGTGCAGAATAGATGAGACTAAATCTTTGATGACTGCTACGGCAGAAAATTTAGGTATTGATATGCTACTAACTATTACTGATGCTAAGAAAATGTTAGAAAATTATTTGGTTTGTATGAAGCAAAATACGAAACAAGTCAAAAAGAACAGATAACTTCGACGTCAACTAGCAATTCGAGGTCCAAAGGCTCGTCGTGGAGTTTCTTAAAGAAGAAAGAGAAAACGTCAGCATCGTCATCAACACAAGCGTCTACCGAACTGGTAAAATATTTTGAATCAAATTTTGTAATCGATGACGACAAACTAGATATCTTACAGTGGTGGAGCAAGACTGATCGTTTTCTAACATTGTCCATAATAGCCCATGACATTCTGACAACTCCGGTGTCAATGGTAGCATCGGAGTAAGCATTTAGTGCAAGCAACTGAATTCTTAACGAGAAGAGAAGCAGAATTATCTGGATTTCTTGGATGGGCTAATGTGCATCAAAGACTGGTAAGATGCTAGAAGACGAAAACAAAACTATACGGATGATTCAATTCAAGATTATTTTTCTAACTTAGAAATAACAGAATCTTTTAAAAGCACTTAGGTTTTGTAATTTACTTATCAAAGAATACTGCACTCTTTTTTCCTTCGCTAAGGTTTTGTCCCGATCTCCCCGCGAGTTTTACTTGGCAACATTTTTAACGAGCAGTCATTTATGTGTACTTATTCATATTATCTCAATTCAATAAAATCACATCTTTTGGAGGCATATGATATATTTTCTTTTTTTTAATTAAACATTGAAAAAAAAAATTAAAAGGGCCAGGGCCAGCCCGTGAAGGGCCCGGGCCCGTCCCTGGCCCTTATGGACTAGGGCCGAGGGCCAATGCCGGGCCTGAGGATTTCTCCTCAGGCCCGGCCTTGCACTGTGCAAGGTCGTCCCAAGCACGGCCCAGGCCCTTAACGGGCCTGGCGTTAGAAGGGCCGTGACGGCTTGACAACTCTATGTTAGGATCCTGGTTGAGTCTCACATTACTAAAGTATGGGCTTAGCATGTGGGTTTATAACCACTTGGACACCCTCTCCCTATAAACTAACTTTTGGGGATGAGTTCTACCCAAGAGTTGTAACATAAGGAATACATAGACACTAAGAAAAAATTCTTTGGTAACATTGTCTTAGTCATAAGTGATATGAATCATATAATACAATTACAAATAGATTAGTCGCCGTTCTCAGCCTGAAGGCATTCTTTTCCTTTCACGGCCAAAAACAGTAATAGATCAAATAAACCTTAAGATCCTGGATATATATATAAAAGAAACGAGAGAATTCTATTAATGAAAGGAAAGTTGAACATCAGGGGACAAGGAGTCCACCTGAACAAAATGACAAAAACAGAACCAAAAGCCTAAAAACTCAATTAGAATCACATCCTCTTAATAAATCCTCAACAGAAAATGTATTGAAGCCTTTAACTTGGGAAATCCATAAAGCAACCCAAAACTTGATTCTATCCCAAACCTCATTAACATCTCGCTCTATATCCTTAAAATTCTGCTGTTCCGTTCTAACCAAACAGCCGCAGATTCAGGGAAAAAAGAGGAAAATAAATAAATAAATAAATAAATAAAAAGGAATGTTGAATAAACTAATTCCCTGAGAAGTTACTATTAGATTATTCCAAAGGAAAGACTACTCGGAAAGTATAGTTGGAGGTACCTGAACTCAAAAACCAATAGCTCTAACACCGTGTTAGGAACCCAATTCTTCAAAAAGCTTTAGCCATTGGGACTTGGGAGGTAGACTGACATTGTCAGTGATATATTCTAATAAAGAGAAAATGTCTAACTTAAAATGAAGATTGGTCTAGATTGCTTCAACGGCATGTAAGTTTTATGCTTTCCTGCACAAAATCTGTCATTTTTTTCAGGAAGCTATACACTTCATCCAATAGTCGGATTTGTGGTATAGAAGTATTGGCTTGGTGCCCAATTTTGGAAATAGAAGCAGCAGATTTGGAGAAGCCATTTGAAGAGGAAGAAGTCAAGATGGCAGTTTTTGAATGTGATGGTAATAAATCTCTCGGACCCAATCGATACACAATGGCACTTTTGCAATAATGCTGGGAAATTGTGAAAGATGAGCTCTCGGAGGTGCTTGGAGAGCTTTATATAACTAATAAGACATATATTGCTCTTATACCTAAGAAGATAAATTCATGTAAAGTTTGTGATTGTAGGCCAATCAGCCTTGTTACTAGTTTGTACAAGATTATCTCTAAGGTTCTAGTCTCTCGGTTAAAAAACATTTTGGATAGCACGATTTCAAAGACTCAAGGGCTTTTGTTGCCAGAAGACAAATATTGGATGTTGCTCTCATTGCTAATGAGGTGGTGGAGGATTATTGAGCAAAAGGTAAGGAAGGGGTAGTCCTCAAAATTGATTTTGAGAAGGCTTAGGACCATGTGGAATGGGATTTTTTGGATTTTGTGCGGCAAAAGAAGAGGTTCAGCGTCAAATGGAGAAGTTGGATTAGAGGTTGCTTGAAGTCAGTGTCCTTTTTGGTGTTAATAAATGGTAGACCGAGGGGTAAATTTAGGCACTCGGGAGGTTTAAGACAGGGTGATCTGTTGTCCCCATTCCTATTCACTTTGATGGCAAATGCATCAGGGAGATTAGTGGATAAAGCCATATGTCAAGATTTGTTGCGAGGTTCGGAAGTTGGCGAGGAGAGAATTAGGATCTCTCATTTGCAATTTGCAGATGACACTTTATTCTTCATTGAGGGAGAGGAAGCAAATCTTCAATCATTAATGACTATCCTTGATGCACTTTGCTTTGCATCCGGTCTTAAGATTAATGTGGGTAAAGCATAATTTTGGCATCAATCTTGAGGCAGAGGTAGTGGGAAGACTTGCTAACCTTGTAGGGTGTTCGGTGGGATCATGGCCAGTTAAATACCTTGGCCGAAATACTCTTAGATCTGCATTTTGGGAGCCAGTTGTGTCGAAAGTGGCTAGGAGACTTGATGGATGAAAGAGATTGTTTTCGTCCTGTGGAGGGAGATTGACATTAATTAAATCAGGTTTATCTTTACTGATTTATTTTCCGTTAATTTTTAGAGTTCCAAAAGGCGTTGCAGCAGTGTGACAGTTCAATCTTCGATCATCTGATGGCATGGGAACAGGTTTGGTACCTAAAGAGAATGACGGTTTGGAGATTGGCAACTCAGATTCTCCGTAATGAAGCCTTACTCTCAAAGTGGCTTTGGAGATTTTCGAGGAAGGGTGAGTGTTGTGGTGTCGTGTCATAAAAGGAATATACGTGACAGGATTTAGGGAGTGAGAATCAGCGGCGGGTGTCAGAGGAGTCATAGAAGCCCTTAGAAGGCAAGACAAGCTCTACATATTGAATTTAAAGCTCGTATTAATGTCAAAGTGGGAGATGAGGGGAGATTTAGATTTTGGGAGGATGGCTGAAGAGAAGGGGAGCCTTCTCAATCTGTTTTTTGAACCTCTATAGAATTTCATCTCTTCATGATGCTTCAATCCGTCCTTTTACACTATGGATGTCATGAGTAATAATTCCTGGGCTATTTGGTTAGAGAGGAACAACCGAATTTTTAAAGATTTAGAGGGAGATGTTTTTGTAGCTTGGGACAGAATTAGATTCTATGGCATTGTTGTTGTCTCATGTTAAAGGCTTCAATGCGTTTTCCTTTTCAGACTTACTTAGAGGGTGGGATTTAGCCCTTCTGTAGTTTTGTGTTGCTAGTTTTTCTCTTTTAGTTTGTTCTGCTTTGGTGGACTCCTTGTCCTCTGCTGTTCTTTTTTCCTTTTTTTAATAATATTCTCTTGTTTTTTATAAAAAAAAAAAAAAAAAAAAAAAAAAAAAAAAAAAAAAAGAAGTAATAATTCCTGGAATTTTCATTTTAGGAGGGATCCTACTGAGAGAGAGAGATGGGTGAAATTGTGGAGCTGTTAAGTTGTTTAGAGGGGTGAGATTGAGCGAATTTATTCTTGAAAGGTGGTTGTGGTATTTAGAGGGCTCAGATTTGGTTTCTTGCAAATCTTTCTTTAAGTCTCTAATTGATTGTTATTCATATCCCTCTTTTAACCTAAATCATTTCATTTGGAAAATCTTCATTCCTACTAAAGTCCATATCTTTAATTGGTTGCCTGAGTCAAGTAAACTTAACACTCAGGATTTGTTGCAAAGGAGGAAGCCCTACCTTTACCTATCTCTTGGCTGGTGTGTTCTTTGCAGAAATGCTGCTGAGTCGCTAGATCATCTCTTCCTCCATTAATCCCTTTCGTTGAGTATTTGGCATCATGTTTTGCAAGAATTTGGCATTGCTTGTGTTCCATCAAATAGTATTGTGGAGTTGTTTGGCAGTGATTTGATGTTTGAAAGTGACAATACAAAAAGAAGGCCTTAGAACGCAATTGTCCTCACAGTTACATGGACGGTGTGGCTTGAAAGAAATAGTGAATTTTTTAAGATGTGCAAGGAAATAGCATTGAGCTTTGGGACAGAATTCAATATTGGGTAGCATTATGGATTTCTCAAACTAAAGGTTTTACTGTGTATTCATTTTCATACTTATTAAAGGGGGTGGGATATTATTTTGCAATGATTAGTTAGTTTTTAGGGTATTCTTGTTCAGACCCTCTAGTTTTGCTTCTTTTTCCCTTCTGGCGGACCCTTGTCCCCTTTTGTACCTATTTTCTCTTATTAATGCAAGTTTACCAATATACATATATATATATATATATGTGTATGTATGTATATATATACTTATTTCCTGTTCAATGTCTAGAATATTTTTTAGAACGCCATTATATAAGTTTGTTATCAGCTACATAAACGAGCCGAGCCCTTGTCACCTCTTAAACAGAAGAAATTTTGGCAAGTAGTGATCAAGTAAAACATACACTGAATATGACAATAATGAATTTTTAGTGACTGCAAGCATCATCATAGTTCTCGTTTCTTTTCAATAGAATACAAAAATTTCAACTAATAGCAGCTAAAAACTCCTTTAACTAGATAATTGAAGCACTAGATTTTTTTTTTTTTCAATAAGAAACAACAAAATTTTATTAATAAAGGAAGAAAAGGAATACAACAGGGTACAAGAAGTCCATTCATAGCAAGTAGATAGGAAAATATTTAAAGATCGATATTTATTCAACTAGATAGGAAAATATAATTTACAAGTAAACAGTAAAAGCCAATGATTCTGAAATAATGAATAGGTCAGACTAACCTGAAAATTAATTTTGAAGCGGGCAAGCAAGCGACAAAAAACATGATAGTTATCGTGATCAGAGAGACCTGTTTCCAGCAAAATATCAGAACCAATTTCATTGTGAGTATGTTAAAATTGATTTACCAAAAGTGCATCTAAACAAAACAGTAAAATAAGTTAGAAGTAATATAAAAATTATCACTTTGTATGCAGGGATGTATATTGTATGGTGAAATGTAAAAAAGATGTTTTTCATTATCTGATTTATTTTAGAAGACTGTAAAAAAATAAAAAATAAAAAAAAAATCAACATAGACATAGAATAGAATCAACAATAATTAGATATAAAACTTAATTAAAAGTTTCCAGATAAAGAGTAAACGAGCAGAGATTCTTCACAGCTTATCTTACAAAGAGCGCACGCGCGCGCGCACACACATCCAAAACCAGTGGCAAACATAGAATAATCTTAAACAATGTAAGAGCAAACTCATTTCAGTTTACCTCTTCCAGTTTGTAGAATTTCTTTGGTTCCCATCATTATGTGAGACAAAAACTTAACTCGAGAAGAATCATTTGTAAATATTGATCTCCTTACTGAAGCTAGACGTAACAAGCACTCCAGTGCCTGGAGTAAAATTTTAAGAAGCCCTGAATTGATAAGCTAATAAAGACTACGAACAAATTGAACGAAAGTCAAAGACAATTGTAAACAAGGAATAACAGTTTAGGGATAGTCCAGGAGGAACGAATTAATAGTTTAACTGTTTAAGAATCTCCCTTTTGTTATGATTTCTGTAATTGTGAAAATATTACTTAAATCACTTTGTTTTCTCCTGTGTTTTAGCCTTTTAGGTTCTTCTCCTTGTTTACACTTTGTTGTTCTTAGCAAATTTCCCAGTTCTCATCCAAAAGAAAAAAGGGGTACCAGTAATGACATTAACCCTAAAAAAAGGGGGAAGAAACTTAAGATGATATATAATTGAGAGGAAGAGAGAGATGGGTTTCAACACTGTACTAACTAAACAAGTCTCAAAAGGTATACAAGTGAATTGATAAGGAAATCCTAAAATCACGACAGGGGTATTTGCACTCTTGCCAACCAAGATGATTTATCACTAAAATGAATTGTCATGTAAGTTGATGCAAGCAAGTATGATTTGAATCCACAAAACTACAATAAAATTATGATTTCTAACAAAGGAACAAACATTACAAACCTCCTTTGAAAAATGACTTTGACTAATTGCGTAATAATCAAAAAAGATTTGTAGTGTTGAAGGCTCCTCAAGGATTGGCCTCCAAGAAGTAGGAATCTGTACATCCAGAGACAAAAAAAAAATTCTAACCAAGAGCACAGAAAAAAAAAATATATATATATATATATATATATATGAAGGTTTTGAAGGGAAAAACTTCCTTTTTTTCTTATTATTATTAGTGTAACGTAAACCTAATTTATAGGATACCAAGTACCCTTGACAACTCATAGAAATTCAAATAAGCTCTTATCTTATCTAAATCTATCTAGATCCGGTGTTTATCTAGAAAAACCGGAATTCCCTATCTCCTAGGATCCTAATCCCAAACTAAGGGATTTGGCTCTTTAATTCAAAAACTGAAAAGATAAAATCTTCTAATTTCCTACAATATATATATTCAAAATTCAAGTAAAAGTCAATGTAATTATTCTTTATCATTATACCTGAACAGTACCAATCTCATCTGAACTTTCATCAAATGAAGTCCCCAGAAAATCAAATGACAAACAACTGAGGGAAAGTGAGAGAGCCAATTCCTGCAACTTACTTTCAACTGAATCCTTGGTCAACACATAAATGTTGGCAATAGCAAATAAGAAAAATGTATTATATATACATTTAACTTTATCAATTAATGAAAACTTATGAGTGTGTCAACCTACCATCATTTTTTAACTGATGCAGTGAACTTATGGATATCTGGAAAATTTGAAGAAGTGATTGCTCCCTGAAAATGCTAGCTATCCTACGTTGGCGAGATACAGATAATCCAGGATGTGGCTGATAAATTATAGGCAAGAAAATATGTGAAAAACATAGAATTTGGGATAAACTTTCTATAAAGAAAACATTAGATAAATAGAAACTCTATGCAATTAGAAAATTTTGAATACATGACACATAAGGAGACAGTTTCTTATATTTGTCTATTGTTTTTGTTGCAAATTAAGCATTTTTCACTACTCAACACAATGCTACCTCTACTTTTTCACGTATGTTAGGATCAACTCCATAAATGCGAAAGAGTACAATCCTGCACACTCTATGCAAATATTTCAATAGTCTCTAAGGAGTTGTTTGGTTGGGGGATTCGTACCCCGATTTGAATCATGATTCGTGGTTTGCTACAGTGTTTTCTCTCACAAAAAATACACGTAAATCGAAAATGGTTCTAATCTCATGATTCTAATCCATGAACCAAACATCTCATAACTGATGCAGGATAGAGAAAAAGAAATGCTTGGGATAACTAAACACAAACGCTATATTCTAAAGTAATACCAAAAAAAAAAAAAATCATCAAGAGTATGATAGAGTTACTTAAACCGCATCTAAAGAACATTCTAATAGTTTAAAAAAATCAGAGAAAAGGGAAGTCCTACGAGCATGCAGCCCAAAATGGTGCCATGTAATACAATATATACGTACATATATATATATACACACATATATATGCACAATGTATATGATGCTAACCTGATTCATCTCAGAAACAAGCTGATTCAGTATCTTCAAGTCAATGGCATAGTGACATGGTGCCTGGCAAACTTGGTTTGTAAGTAAGCATTCTTCTTTAAGATTAGATAAATAAATCTACAAAAACATTCGTCCTAAATTCTTAACCTGAAAGGAAATGGATGTAACAAATCAATGCATACCAAGACGTTTAATCATTCAAACCTCTCAAGAGAGAAGCAAGAAAGCGATGCATATAGATAGTAGCAAAAATGATCAAAGGCCTCAGAAATTATAGTGATTCTATTTTTTGCAGGGAAAAATGAAGAACATGAAAAGACCTATGCAATGAAACGTGTATTAAAAAGAACACAAATAAAATAAAACAGATCTGGACAAAGATATGACATAACAAGAGAAATGAGAAGCATAATTGCAGAAAAAGCAATTCTGAGAAAAAAATCATTTCACCTGACTTAAGAAGTTCATCTCTTTAACTACCTCTCTGAATCTATCATCATCAAACCATCCAAACTTTGTAACTCGACAAAAGAGTTGGATCAGGGATCCAATCACAAAAGGCTCCAACTTAGCTCCTCTTGTATCCAGATAGCTTATAAGATAGTTTCCTTCAGATGAAGTGCAGTTAGATCAATTTTGAAAGAACAAAGAAAATGTGGTAGAAAAAAAAAATTGGAAAAGGTGACCGAGGAGTAATCAACATTTCAACAACCAAACATATTCATTTGTAAACAATGAGAAGCTATTGCAAATGAAGAAGTGACAAAGTATAATCATATATCAAAGGGGGACTAGAAGGTTTAAGCCACAACAGGCCTCATCCTTTGCAGCTCATTGATATATGCCTTATCATAGAAACTAAAATGGTACAATATGAAAAAACTAGTATAAGCATAGAGAAAAATAAGTAAGAGGACTGCATTAAATATTTAAAACATCTTATTCCATATATACAATAGCAAATAAATGCAAAATCAGGCTTCCACAGAGCATAGAAGCCAAAACGTGTTTTACTAGAATATTCAAGGACATATTTTATCTGCAAGCAACAAGAATATTACGAATATCAAGCCGGAGTTGCAAAGGGAGGCTCTGATCTGTCACTTGCTTCAACAAGCTTGAACTAGCCATCATCAATGCATATGGGCTTGATGCATTGTCAAGAATGTATTGGCATTGAGAAATATAGTCAGCATTTGTTGAAAAGCACTTGAGAGTTCTTTCAGCATGAGCTCGTTCGATAGAGTTCTGTGAATTGTATAGCCTTTCACACAATGCTTCTAGCTGCGCCAAGCTCTCCATTGTCAAAGCCTAAGAATTGTTTCCGGATGGTGATCAAGAATTCCCCAACAAAGTCAATTCTTCCCCCCCTCACACATAGATGAATAAATATCTACAAGTTTTTCATCAGATTGAAGTAATATATTTAGAAGGCAAAAAAACTAGAATATGAAGGGATAAGTTCAAGTCTTAGAATTTATTTAGTAGTTGAAGCTGAAGAATTAATGTACTAGAATAGAATGTTTGCTGTTTACAGACATATACAACAGTATTTTAAAAATCTCAAATTGCTACGATTACAAGAGACACTACAAATACAAGGAAATCCAGATAAAATGTCGAGCAACTTGTCATCAGCAAACCTTCAGGCATACTGGTTCAAGAAAAAATGGCAGCACTGGTCCTGAGATAAAAAGAAATGTCAAACGATACTTGAAAAGTCATAATTGTATTTCAAGATTGCTCACAACTCTGGAAACGAGATGAAATTCAAAAAAAAAAAAAAAAAAAAAAATTTTTGTCATTCAAGAAAAGAATTTTTTATAATGTTTCAGTGTAACCGGATCAGATATTTCCATCAATATGCACTTCATTTCTGAAATGAATTTCAAATTTTCCTCTTCCCTCGGATATCTTCATTATTCAAGTATAACATTGTCCTCTTTCTAGCAATACACACTTTCCTTTTCAATATTTCATCTTAAGGTAGTTTTTTTCTACTCAAGTAGCTTATTGGTATTGTCAAATGTTTCTGGATTTTGTCTTCCACAATACCTAATCATGCAATGCTCTGTACTGAACTTTAGCGCACCCCAGCATTTACTATGTGCAATGCTTTTTTTTTTCTTGATAAGAAACTAGTATCACTTGAAATAAGAATCCTCACTGTAGGCACTTATTTAAACAACCAAACTCTATCAGTGTATCAAGCTGCCCCACATTTTGATTTGTTGATCATCAAAACTACCACATTTGAAGCTCGCATCCTTCACAACTTGCACTTACCTTTTCTACATTGCCAAATATCCAAGAACACAAAAACAAGTCGTAGGAAATATTACATATCACGTGACCATAACAGAGAAGAGGAGCGAACTCTAACTATGAATTGGGAAAAAAAAAACCAACTGTATCAAACTAGTATTGTAAATTGGAGTGCAATGTATAGTATATAAAATATCAGCATGGCTCATATAGTAGTTTCCAAAATAGTGCGCACATCTTATTTAAGAAATGATAGCAAAAATCCAATCCTATCGCACAAATGACGAAATTAATTGAAATAAATTGTGAGAGGAGAACTGAAAAAGGTAAAAATCCAAACCAAATAAGGAACCACAAGAAGTTCCGGAATAGATTCCACTAACAAAACCCCCCATATAGGAAATTGAGCATTAAATTCCTAGCCTTCATAATCAAAAAAATAATAATAATAAAAGGAAAACGAACAAAAGTATGAGTTCTGCTCATACAAACTACAATCTTCATATCAAAGGTACAAGATGCTGAAAAATTTATTTTCCTCAATAAGCACTAAGTTGAACGTTTGACAACCTAGTTATACGTTACCTCAATTTTACAACAGCCTAGATCTTTCAGACAAACCAATCTTGCTAATCCACATAGTAGCTAAAAACATGCATTATCACTGCGTGTTTCATATCAAGTCTGTCAAATAAATCTAACAAAAAAAACAAACCAAACTGATGCAATTTATTTATTTACATTCAAAAATCCCCGAACTCTCAAGTTTGATACTGGAGCCTCTGTCAAAAACCTACAATCTTTAGAAGGCAAGAAACTATGAATTTTGGCACGTAGGTGCCCATGAGGTGGTTCGAACCCCAGACCTTGTGCGATCAAACCAACCAACACCCAACACCCCATGGCCGAAACTGATACAAAGTATAAGTTTGGGGAACAGAACATATACATTTTGAAGTTCAAGGACATTTGCCATAGGACCCAAAGTTCAGGGAAAATTATAAAACCTCAAACTAATATAATCAAAGTTTATGCATTATCGTGGATTAGATTTTCTTCCATTTCGTTTAAAACAAATCAGAAAACTCCTTCCGACTCCTAATAAGCCCATCTTGGACCAATAAAGATTCTCAGAAGAACCCTATTTTTTACCAGAATAGTTTTATACACAAAAAACTCCATTTCTCGGCAATGCTGACGCAGAGCACGCAAATATGAAAGCGACAAAAGTAAAGAATGAACAAATTTATAGGCCGAGAAATGTATCGGAACTTCAGAATCGAACTACAAAAATGATTATTGTCCATCGGAAAAGCACAAGTTTAGCAGAAACGATGAAATTAAGGAGTAAAAAGAAATTAATCGACGATGACAAAAAAAAAAGAGCAAGCTTACGAGATGAGAATTTATGGCGTTGCTTTCAAGACAGCGGAGGAAGACTTGTCGATAATGGATGAGTGGAAAACGCTTCATTGTCTATGGTGTTCCTCTTATAGTTGTTGCTAAGACAAAACGGTATGTCGTTGTAGTCACAGAAAGTTTATTGTCGCTTGAGCAGAAAAAGGGTTATATTTTTAATTTTTATCGTTTCAAATTACGCTGTCGCCTGTGTGAGTGTGTTTTCTTTTTTTTTTTCCCCCTTTCTAAAAAGTAATTTATCGTTTCAAGCAATAAAAAAAAGTTGTGCTGTTTTTTTTTGTTTTCCTTTCGGAAAAGTAATTTATGAATTGTATTGTCGTCTTATTGGAAATAGCTTTTTAGCAAGAATGAGAATTGTGATTAGTGCTGAAACTTTAGACAAGTCGTTTGTAATCATTAAAAATTTTGAATTTTTACATGATGATTGAGCCCGCCTGATCCTTAATTTTTGGGCTGCCCGACCCGACCTGAGAAACATTATGGACGGGCTTTGGCTTCCCGAGCCCAATCGGGCAACCCTCTGCCCGAGTTGCCCGAATGTTTTTAAATATTTATATATTACTATTATATATATATATATTATATATAATTTTGTTTATTAATTGTATATGATATGTATATAAATGATTTTTAAGTTATTTATTGTAAAAATTATACAAAAATTATAAGGGATATTGCAATTTGAAATTTGAAATGAACACGATCTATATAAAAAAAATTATTTATTTATTAATATTTAAATTTGTAATTCATGATTGTCTCGTTAAAAATCTTACCAAGAAAAACTCAATTGGGATAAAAACTTAGTAAGAAAATAAGAGTGCAATCATTGTGGGACGAACTTACAAAGTCTATACAAGATTACAATAACAATGTACAAAGTAAATAAATATTTACAAATTACAATAATAGAATTTAATTTAAAGCTGAAGGATCGTCTTGAAAATTAAAAGTTAATCTATTAAATTCATTGATCCATTATTGACTTGCCGGTGAAATTATATCGTGTAAGCGTTGGTTGGAATGATCCCAATCCTTAATGCACACCAAAGCTTCAACAATGTCCTGTTGCAATGCGCTTATATGTTCTTCAAGTATTTAGCCAGTCGTACTGAATGCTTGTTCGGATAAACAGTGAAGACTGAGATCGAAAAAATATCCATTACCAGTCGAGTTAGGATTGGCCAAGTTCATGCTCATGCCCTCCACTACTGAACCAAATCAAACATTTCACTATTGTCGACAACTAAGCCCTCACTCAGGTACGCCATTAACTCGTTGAAGCAGCCGTTGTTGCTGCCACCTCTTGATGAAGATCCACTGCCAGATTCTTCTTGACCTTGAGTCATCGTCGTCGTCTTCCTCTTCTTCTTCAACCTGAAACATTCAAGAATGAATGCGGATTGTCGTCTCGTTGTTGCGGTTGTTCTACACGAGGTGTGTTTCTAAACCTACTTTCATAAAAGCTATAGAGAGATAATATTTTTTCCTTTATAATAAGAAATTGGTCATAACAGTCGATATCTAAAAAGTCACCTACGTTGTCTAATCCACTTTCTAAACCATCTAATTTTAATCTAGGATCAAAAATGACACCGAAACCATACAACATTGGTAATTTAGACCAATATTTTTTGAACTTCTTTTACATAGAAGCGATAGAAACTCTTAAAATCTTGTGTGTCATAAATTCACTAAATAAAATAGTCATTCTTAAAAGATCTCCTAACGCTAATGGTGACATTAGGTAATATGTTCGACTAAGCTTTAAAGTAATTTCGTAAAATCTACCTAAAAAGTTATACAAAAGTTCGACAATTTATCAATCAGTTTGGTCTATAAATCATGGTCCTAATTTTGTACTAACATAGTTTGTTATAGCATCTTTATAGGGGATGCATTGTTCAAGCATTATATAAGTGGAGTTCCATCTTACAGGCATATCTAAGGCTAATGCTTTAGGATTTTGATTACATGCTTATAGAAACCTAAACCAATCTTGTATTCTTTGATTAGTACCTTGAATCCATGCAATATTATCTCTAATTCTTTTAATATGACCTGACATTGATTTTAAACCGGATTTTACTATTAAATTAATTATATGGCATGCACAACGTTGATGAAATATATCATTATTACCGAATAAACTTAAATCATTTTCAAAAAGTTCTATTACTCTAGTATTTACAGTAGCATTATCTAATGTTATAGCCATTACTCTATCCCTTAAACTATATTCATCAATGACAGATAAAATTGTATTATATATTAAATTGGCGGTATGGGATCATATAATACATTTAAAACTTTATATTCTCTTATCTAAATCAAAACCTTTAAAATAATGTCCGGTTATAGCTAAATAATCTTTATTGGCAACGGTGGACTAAATATATGTCGTTAACGCAACGCAACCACTAGTAGAGTGTAAAATGTTGATTAATGCTTCCATTTCTTGTTTATATAATTTTAATGCATTTTTCCTAAGAGTAATTCTTGAAAAAAATTGTGCATTAGAATTATGTACAATTTTAATATAATGTTGTTAATTCCTTTGTTCGGTAAAACTAAGTCGTTGATCTAATGTAGTTACTAATCGTGCCATTTCCATACGATTGACTTGCGGATCATATTTTCAAGTGGTTAGACCGCCGGTTTGACAGTCAAACGATAATTGTGTTTGGCGGAGATTAGGTCCGCCTCCTTACTTTTGAAGACACTTTTCAGTGTGTCTTCACAAGTGTGTAGTGCTGCGAATAGTGTTACATTATAATTTATCACCACAATATTTGCATTGAGCTATGTATTTAATATTACCGTTATTGTCGACCTCCTCGAATGTATTAAAGTGCTTCTAAACTGTTGAGGTGTGCTTGCATTTCTTCTTAGAACTTGTAACACTTGCACTAACACTTCCGCTTGCCTCTCCTCCACGCCCACCATTACGTCCACGAACTCTAGTATATCCACCAGGGCTCAGATTTGCAGTTTCCTCAACAGCTCTTTCTGCAGTTTGTGATTCTTGCGTTTGAAAAATATTAATAGGAAATTGCCATTCTTCGATGTTGAATTGGGCATCAACAGGAATATCACCACTATAACCAGAAGAATCCATTATGAAAAATAAGAGAGATTGAGAGCACTTTGAGAGAGATTAAGAGAGATTAAGAGAGATTTGAGCGAGATTAAGAGAGATTTGAGAGAAATTAAGAGAGGTTGAGAGTTTTTGGGTGAGGAAAATGGTTGGGGGAGAGGGGGTATTTATAGAAAATTTTTTGGCCTGAAAAAAAAAATTTTCCGTCAAATTTTCAGTTCCAACGGTAACACACACTTTCAGGTTGGGTTGGGTTCGGGCAACGGTAAAAAAAAAGAGCCATTGGGGTCGGACAGGTCAGGTCGGGCAAAATAGAACCGTTGCATTCAAAATTCGAGCTAACGGTCACAAAGAATTCGGGTTGGGTCGGGCAAAATTAGAAAAAAAACCTATCCGTTTTGGGGTTTTCGGGCAACGGGTAGGGCTTCGGGTTACGCAGGAAAATTCAAAAAAAATTTCGACAGACGGCAGTCACGGCTTGTAAAATCCAAAATTTATTTGGGATCAATTTGTAATTTTTAAGGACTTAATCGTAAAAATTTTAGAAATCTGGGCAAAAATTCAAATTTAGGAGAAATATGGGGGTCAAAAGTAAAGATTTTGACAGTTAGCATGCTCAACTTGTTATTTAGTGCTATTTTGGCATATCCCTCATCCTCACTAATCAGAAACCCTCATTTTTCCTCTTTCTCTTAATTTTGTCTCTCTTTCTCCACGCACGGCTGACCCACCTCCAGCTAGATTCCGCCATTTTTGACACCTCCCAGCTCATTGGAAAGATCTCGTCGAGCTGAGTCCGGATTGGTGTCTTCCAGCCGCCAACTCCGCCGGATGACGCCACACTCGCGTGCCAAATTTTTGAAAAACACTCAAACTTCCGATCATGATATCTTCATCGTTCAGTGTCCGATCGAGGTGATTCCGGTCCCAATAGACTCAGAGACAAAGAAAACCGTACCAGCAGCACGGGTTGATTCTGACTGGAGCACTGCCGCCCGTGGTGGTTGGATTTCCATCGCCGCTGCCCTCGAATCTCCCTCCTCCGGACGTCGTGAACGACACCGCCCAGTCCATTAGCTTCAGAGGGAGCCGGTGAGTCGTTCTGGGCCACCAGCCGTGGTCACTGCCGCCGTATTGCCCGAAAACGAGCTGTCGCCGCCGTGAGATAAATGGGAGGATGATTCCGGTGATCTAGCCATTGGATTCTCGTGATCTTGGTGTCAAAATGCTCAGAATCTCACAGGTAATGAAAGCCCTCAATCAATTTTGAAGATCCGTGGCTTAAAAACAAAGATTCAAAGCTCGAAATGCGGCCGGAATTGAGGATCCCGATCCGAGTGGTTAGAGGCCGAATTTGATAAAATTGACATCACCATTAGACTCAGAACCATCGATTTAGTGGGGGCAGGACCCAAGTCCGCCGCGGGATTCTTCTCCGGGAAGCTCCGCCGCCGCACCACCGCCGCCGGTGGCCGGATTCCGGCGAAGCTTCGTTTCTCAGCTTCCCGACTTCCGATTGACGAGCTGTTTTGAGGTAGGGGTCTTATTACTTAACTTTTGTGAAATTTTATTTAATTCAAATTAATTTTGTTAAATTTGAGAAGAATGAAATTGTATATTAAACTTCTTTATTACTGTTATACGATATGACTTGAACAAAACCATTTAGGGGCCTGTCCTGTAGTGTACATCGTGGCCAAGAGATTTGACATAATTTTAGAATCTGACACAAGAGCATGACTAGGAAAATGTAAACTGGACATGATAGTGAGATAGTGTGTTAACAGTAGGTGTGGCCGTTCACCACCCCTGGGTGTGAACCCGAAATGGTAAAAGAGTGGAGAGGTGATGACGTTCTCCGGGGTTGAGAATCCCCAAGGTTATTGTACAGTAGTTGCGTCTTGGTGAGGGCTCGGAACGACAGTTCACCCTTGCCCGTGGTTCGAGAACTGATCTAGTAGGGACACCGAGGTAGAGCTCTTTGCTATTAGTGCCTCTGAATCACCGCGCCCTTCGGGGGTTTTTCGTCATGAGCGTACGGATTGGGTTATCTCACCGACACTGATCATCTGACTCATTATACATAAAACGTAAAAACTACTAACCATGCAGGTTTAATTCGGATAAATAAATAAAACTAAAAGTGAGTAATAGTTCTCCTACTGAGCATTCCATACTAACCCTTTTCTCTTCCCATTCCCAGGCGGTGTACAGTGTAATCTTTTGGACGAGGAGTAGACGTTTCACAGTGCGCAACATGTTGGAGACCTATCCCTTCTTTCGGTCTTCTTCGTAAATTATGTAAGATTCTGACTGGGTTGTTTTCGACAGGGATGTGACTGATGATGGTTGTATCATTTAAGTATTTTATTTGGTGCTACATTGTACTGTGAATTTCTGGTTTTATTTTGTTTTGTCGATTTGTGATTTTTAATTATGAGATTTTCGTTAAAAGTCCCATAGGCACTTATCGTTTATATTTTGAGAGTTATATTTTATTTTTATTTTCGTTTGCCCCTTGTATTTCTAATCTTATTGCATAACCCCCACCTAGGGGTGTTACACGGCTTCTCCACCGGCGGCGAGCTGCCGGGGTTAGTTTTTCCTCGGGATGCCCGAGCCCGGCAAAAATCTGTAGATGGGCGACGAATGGTGCCTGCCTGCCGAGCCCAAAAATTTTCAAGCTTCAGGGAAGCCTACCGCTTGAACTTACAACACTAATTGTGATGAATGTTTATTTTCGGCACTTTCTTAAAAAGAATGCCTTTTTCTATTTAAATTTTGTCCAATTTTATAAGTCGAATGGACTCTCTCTGTTTTTTTTAATAAGGACAAAATGTACTTATAGATGACTAAATCAATAATTTCTCTACTAAAAATTAATTTATCAACAAGTGGACAAAAAATAAAAACCAATTTATGAAAAATTTTATACAAAGGGGTCCAAATTTTTGGCCACTCGTGTGGATGTCGTGAAAGAATTATTGAAGAGAAATCCATAATATTGTCAAAGCGTCTAATTGTTTTTGGGTTAATTTAAAAAATGGTTTTTTTTTACTTGTCAAAGCGTCCAATCCCTTTCTCTTAGAACTACTTAACAAGGTCCTTTTGGTTCTAAAAGTATTCAATATCAGGCCTCTCCAACATTAATGCTAAATTCAATAAAAAAAAGTTCCAAATGTTAAATTTTACAATTAAAACAATCACTCATTTTAAAACAATTCCAATGCAATGTTAAATTAGTGTACCAATTCCGAGCAAAAAAAAAAAAAAAAAAGTTTCCCAGTGCCAAAATTTAGTATTGAAATAAGAAAATCATTCTCTAATAACACAATGTTATTCTAGGTATTAAATTTGGCATGTGCAATATTTGATAAAAAAAGTTGCCGTCAGTATACCATATGCTAAATTTTAGTATTAATTAATTACTATTGGTTGATATGTTATTTTTTTATTTCATAGATATATAGATATTTCCAAATTATTTTAAAATTAAAAGTATACTTTCAAAATTTTCAAACGATCCTAGGCTTCAAAGTAATTTTTTGCTAATCAGGCTTCTAAGTAATTTGGTAATGTATGATGATTTGCTAGAGCGTTAAAAGATGATTTGCTAGAGCTTCAAAGTAAATTTTCAAAATAATTAATGTTGTCGGTTTGGTTAATCATACATTTGTTATTCATGCTGACACCACCCTCAACATTTCGATTGCACACTAGATACGTGTCTCGTTCATTTGAGTTTTCAATTCTAATTTTATTAAAGTTAAAAATTCTTACAAAAAGTCACATTTAGTATTTTTACTATAATTAAAAACTCCCACATAAAGTCAGATCTCAACTCGAATAAGTAAACTGAACATTGCCAAAAATTAAAATTTCACTTTTATATATTTCAAAACATTATTTTAAGTTTTGAAGTTTATATGTTTTACTTTTATATGTTTCAAAACACTATTATAAGTTTTGAAAACATTATTATAAGTTTTGAAAACATTATTATAAGTTTTGAAACATATAAAAATGAATTTTAATTTTTAAATAATTTAAAGATGGTGATGTTACAATTACTTAAATTAAATTCACACATTTACAAGTAGCAACTAAATATAAAAAATGTAACATATGCTATACTCAATGTTTAATTTGTACCAAATATAGTGTGTATAGTTTAATAACAAACATATATTAAAAAATGATTTTTCTATCCAAATGTTAAAATTTAATTGGACGCTACGAGTAGCAACCGTTCTTGAAACTTCTGTTTCCAGCCAAAAAATAAAAAATAAAAAATAACCGTTCTTGAAACTTCTATAGAATCACATGTTAACTGCTATATTCATTGGTAGCGAGGAAAAAAAAAGGGTAAAACTGCACTGTTGGTTTGACTAAAAGCTTCAATTTACAAATATTTGATCAGTGCACATATTAAAATTATCAAAATCACAATAGCAATGACCATTAGGATTAAACAAGAACACCCGCCTTTGGTCTTTCTGTTGAGCACAGCCAATTTCCTCTGAACTCTCTGCTTCAAAGATCAAAATTAAATGAGCTGGATTGTCTAGATAAACGAATTCAAGAAGTGAAACAAAATAACATGACAATAAGATGAAACAATACCAAAAAAACATAAAAAAGTGATACTTCAAATTGCAATTTATAGGATACATTGAATATTAAATAAAGAGTAAGGAAAATGATGCCAACACTAAACCCAATTTTTTTAATATGTGTTTCTTTTATATGTTTTTAAAATTTTCATATCAATTAATATTAAAAAATGACATTTGTCGGTCAAAATATAACAATTCACCTTCACATTATTTTATTTTTATTTATTTAATATTTTTGAGAATGGTTAGCAATAATGCTCCGCTCATATGTGACCAAAATATTCTGTCTTTTCGATCAAGTAGTTCTAGAAGAAGGTTCACTAATGGTACTTAAGAAATTTTGATATTTTGAGCACTTCCTTTTTTTTTCAATGTCATTAAATAATATTTTGCATCTTATTTCTCATATATTTGACAACTTAAATAACTCAAACAGGTCTTCTATCACGACTTCTTGGGCTCTTTTGTTCTTCTGGTGGAAGTTAACATATTTAGCATACAAGTTCAATTCAACAATTTCAAGCTAGGAGAGAATGCAAGATCTTAAAGCCTAACCTGTAGGCGTGAATTCGTTGAATCCACATGCTCATCCAAGTTATCCTGTAGATTGAGAAAATCGTGAAATCGAAGTTAAGTGAGTTCGCAAAACTTGACCGCCAGTAGAATTTTTTTGTTGAAAATAATAAGAAATTATTGGTGTCATCTCGTCCTCTATCCAGTTCATTTATAACACATCCTAGGGCCAACTAATAGAAAAGAAAAGACAAGACCTACTTCTACTCATACATGGGCTTAACATTTCCATTACATAAACACAATATTACATAGTTATAAAGTATCGAATGCTGAACCCATCCTAAGAGAAGAAGGAAAAACATCTTAATCATTGCACCATCCTAAGGGTGGTAAGTACAAAATTTGCATGAATATGTAAAATTAGCAAAAAATAAAAAAAAGTGTATATAAAAAAATCAACTATTGAACCTACCAGAAGTCTGGTTTGTAGGTCAAGCTCTTCATTCACTGCCAATGCAATGTGTTTTGTACTAACCACTGTCTCCTCTAACTGTGCAAAGTCTTCATCTTGTTCTGATGGGAGTAAAAAACACATTAGACATCTCCTTGGTCCAAGCCAATTGCTAAAACAACATTCAGTTATTAGTCGACATGCCTTTGATGATTTGTCTTTGAAAGCTAACAAGACCATGGTTGTCCAAGTCGTTTGCTTTCTTCATCATATCATCCTGTTTTCTGTTGAGCCCAAACAAGTTATCTCTATCAGCAGACATTGACATGTTGAGAGTAGGAGCCATCTCGCCTGCTTGAACACTCAGTTTATCGAGCATATCTCGGCGTCGATTTGTCTCCTTTGCCGATCTGTATTCTTAACAATGACTCGCTCAAAATTAGTACAAGGTAAGGGTGAAAATAATAGCCAAATAAGGTTGCAAGCATCAAAACCAAAAAAACTAATCAATTTCTCACTAAGTTGCTCTCACACTTACATACAACCTTCATTCACAAAATTGCATTGATGTGCCTTAGGAGTTGGGTCCAAGAATGAATTAAATAAGTACATTTTCTTATTTTGGGGTGTTAAATTGAATCTATGTATGACCAAAATAACAGCAACATTCATCTTTTTTCCACTCGAAGATAGTTCAAACATTCAGTTAATACATGAACAGTGTCTAGAAAGTTATTGATAGCATTTCAATATCTATTCTTTTTCTTTTGTCAACAAAAGAGAATTAGCTAAAGAGAACAGGGATTTACAGATTCGACCTCTGCACCGGATACTAAATTCTTTATTTCCTTCAACTGAAAAAGAAAAAGGAATTGAGTATACTTACAGTATCTGCTTGCTGGGGAGCTTAGACAAAAGTGATTGCAAAGTCTCGAGCTTTGTTCTCAGTATTGTCATCTTTCTCCGAGCTGTAGACATATGACGTTGCGTTTGTGGTCCGGAGGGCAGCAATGAGCTCCTTTGAGAAATCATATCGCGGACTTCATCCGCGAGTTTTGATGCGTCACTGAGTTCTCGCATCCACGGGTCAGAAGAAGACGCCATTGCAGCTGATCATGAACACATTGTCTTCAAACTGGGTAAAAAAATAAAATACTAAAGCAAAAAGTTTTTACATGCTCTAATTTTGGGTGATTTTATCAGAGAAAATCTTTTTACAGACAAGTGGGAGCTAAAACTAGAAAAAAGACGGTGCAAACAAACTAACATCAAGAAATTTGAGTATTTAAGCCTGTAGGCACTAATGCTTTATGTAAACATAATAAACACACACCACAAATGTATAGAGACAAAAATAGTTATAAAAGGTTACAACAGCTATCTTGGCTTAAATAAAAAAAACTATTCTTTTCATGAGTATTCAAATTATTCCTAATTGGTATTATAAAATTTATTCATTTACCATAGTTAAGTAGAAAAACCAATATGCTTAAAAGTAAGTTCTAACTGTCATAATCTTTTTAATATTGTGCAAGAAAAGAAAAGAAAAAAGGTCAATCTTTTAACATGTTGTTGGAACTTAATCAAATAAACTTCTAACTCGTATGCTTTTGGAGTTTTCACTTGCCAATTCCAGACAGATTATTGGATCACTACAATTTAAACACAAAGATCAATTATTCTTTTTATCAGTTTAAAAAAGCTACCTTTAAATCAAATAACACAACCAGTAACTCTAACACCATTGTCTTGAACTGTTAAGGCAACTTCAAATGCCAAAACTTGAAATAAGGCTAAACTCGACAGAATAATTCTCTCTGAAATAAAAGAAGTCAAATTCTTAACCATTATTATGAATAGAGTAACCTAGGGAGTAGGGGAACCAAATTATTATCAAATTTAGAATATATGAAATTTTGTGACAATAAAATTAATATCTAATTGCTCTAATACATATATATATATATATATATATATATATATATATACACACACACACACACGCACACACACAAGAATACACACGCAGATTATTTACCAAGAAGTAAATCGTTACAAAATTTAGCAGCTGTATTATTATGTTAGTAATATTCTAGAGGAAAAGAGTGCGATCAATGGGGAAAAGGCAACCAAAAAAAGTCCAGAACAAATAAAACAGACGACAATTACGCACAGGACAAAAGCCAGAACCACAAACAAAAACACAACAAAACAAAAACTCAAAAGAACACTACGGTTTAATTGTTTTTCTTTTTTATTTCCTTAAATTATGAAATTTCGGCTGATAAAATTCATTGCTTACAATGCAAGTCTAACATCGCTTATTCTCTAAAAACAACTTATAGGAAGGTAGATCAGCAAGATTACGTGCCAGGATCGAAGGAAAAAACTAAAAAAAAAAAAATGCATTACCTTTTTCTTTATGTGTTATTATGGTTTTGCTTTCAGATTTTGATGATAGAGAGAAAAAATAATAGAAACCGACAATGCAGGGGAATGGATTGATAGTTGGGCAGAGCAACGTTGTTTTGCAGAGAGAGACGTCGGCTGAGTTGTGGTGCGTGATAATGTTATGGGGCTTTGTCTGTTTGTTTCTAACAAAATATGCAAATTCGAATTCGAGTAGGATAACAATATTGACACCACGATCTATAAAAAAATAAAATAAAATCAGTTTAATATCTTGTATTATCGCGAAATATATTCTTATTTTTTGTATTTTTTATAATACTAATTGTAATGTACGTGTGATACACGTAAGGAATAATTAGTGTGTTACCGTATTAGTATTATTATTATTATCATTATTATTATTAAAAGCATATAACATCTAAATATAAAATCTCAAAAAAGAACGTAAATGAAAAATTTTAAAGTTTTAGGGCAAGAAGTAAAAAAAATAGATAAAAAAGGATTAAAAAAGAAGAAATAAATAAATTTTTAGACAAAAGGGACCGAAATGAAGAAAAAATCAAGTTTGAGGGCAAAAATAGAAAAGGTGTCAAAAAATAATTAAATGGAGAAATAATAAATTATAGGGCAAAAGGAAATAAAACAAAGAAAAAAAATATAAAATTTCAAGAATAAAATGAAAAAAAAAGTCAAAAAATGATTAAAATGAAAGAATAAATAAGTTGTCGGGCATCATAAAAAAAATTTAAATAGGATTTTATCTGCAAAAAAAATAATGTAGGTAAACGAAAGAAAGTCAAAAAGAGGGCCAACAACAGAAAAATATAAAATTTTGGAGAAAACCAAAAGGAAAAAGAGGAATTGGTGACACCATCGAATTGGAATATAAACATTTTAAAATTTAAGAGGTGAATATGTTAATTTTTAAAGTTTTAAGGGACAAACTCACTAAAAGTGACTAAAGTTGGGAGGGGAATAAAATTTATCCTTAAAATTAAAGTCAAAACGAAACCGCCTCAGTGCCTGCCCCGCTCCGTTTGCAAATTATGTGAAACGTCTACAATCTGCAAACTCTACCACTATAGGCAGAAAATAAACGCTTAAACACTTGCTGACTTTTGTGAAGTTTGAGACCAAAAATGGCCGCAACGAACTCTATCTCTATCCCATTAGCGCGTAAATCGTCACTCTTATCCCGTCTCGCCGAATCCACAACGGTTTCTCGAATTCCATCAATCCCAACGCAGATAAGAGGGTTAAGGAGCTGTTCTTCCTGTGGGTCCCACGTAAAACCCCTGAGTTCCGGTCGTCTTGTTGGGTTTAAGGATTTTGGTCACGATGGAATCGCGTCGGGACAAGTGGGCTCTGTTCGTTTTCGAGTTTCTGCTGTTTCGGACGGTGGAGCTGGCGGATATGGCGGCTCTGGTGATGGGAGTTCTGGCGGCGGCGGAGGAGGTGAAGGACAAGGTCAAGGTGATGGCAGCGAAGGTGGTCAAAACAACTGGTCTTTGCTTTCGTGGTAATCTGTCTTTCAGTTCGTAATTTTCAATTGTTTTGGTTGTTTTCCTTTTAGGTTTGAACTGAAATTCCTATTTTTGTTGAGAGAGAACAGTGTAGTAAAAAGGTTTGAATTCTGTTTCAAACTACAAACCAAACGGGTGTTTGGTTTTCGGGTCTTGAATTTCTTTCATGTTTTGCATTTTCACTAAGACCATCTTGCTGCTAACGTTATTATTATTGTTATTATTATTGTTGTTGTTGTTGTTTCCATAGAATAGAAAATTCGACTTTTGTGTGCGCGTGTGTCTGTGAGTGTGGAAGCATGCTAATGTTTTGCTTGGTAATTTGAATTTCTCATTCATAAGATTTACAGTGTTCACCCTAAATGTTTTTAGCTGCCGCCGAATTTCACTTGACAAAGAAGAAGATTACAAGAGAATTGCTCCCCACACATTGTGGAATCTCTCTGTTCCTCTCTAATCTCAGTGCACAAAATCGGCTGACTAGCCAAAATAGAAATGCAAAATAATTAGGCTCCATATACTCAACAAGAAGACCTGAATTTTTTCTTCGTAATAAAGTTGACTTTTTGTACTCTCGAAAGGCAAAGGAAAAGGGCATACATTTTGCTGTCAAATATGAAATGGGATTCTGTCTTCTCATTTGCTTTCCGACATATGGAGTCCATGTGTTGTCTGAGTTGTTCTTGTTGGCTTTATTTTTGTTTAATGATTATTTTCTTGGATTTTGTTGACTTGAGATTTTTAATATTCTTGATCTAGTGTGGTTGATATGTGTAGTAGGTAATTATGAAAGTCCACCCATGATTTGCAACTTGGAATTTGGATTACTAGAAAGCTAATTATTCTGTTGTTTTTTTTTTTTTTTTTTTTACAAGTAAACACCTATCAAATGATCTCCAGTCTCATCACACTCTGTTGCAACATCCTTTGCTTTTTGTAATAAATCTACGTTGGAGAGTTGAGGTTTATTATCCTTATATTTTTTCGCATAAATGTTTGCTAAATAGTGAGATGGTATGCATTTGTTGTCAACACTTTCATGCCTCAATTTTTTATTTTTGTTTTCCTTTAGATGAAAAAAATTGAGATCCCCACTTTGCGGTTCTAACTTGGATCTTGTATTGTCCAGGTACTTGGGTCTTCTTGCAAAATACCCTGTGACAACAAAAGCTATAACATCTGCTTTCTTAAATTTAACTGGAGATTTGATCTGCCAGGTAAACTTGCTACCAGAAAATATGACTTTCTACAGTCTTTAATGGTTAGTGCCTACTGATTTTTCTGGTATGTGAGTTTTTACTCCTCCTTGATGCACTTTTATATTTATGAGAATTTAGCAAGAATATCGTCTTACTGGTTTTCCCTTTCTTTTATAAGAAATACAACTTTGTCAAATAAATTAAAAGAAATACAAGATAAGCACAAGAGAACAAGCATCTTATTTTCGTATTGATCATGCTTATGGATTTGGCATGGTTTGGCTAGAAGTTTTGTTCTTTGTTACTTTTAAAATGCCTCTGGTTCCTCTGAATTTGTTTCTATCTTCATACTTTGTTTACTTTAAACTTTTATGGTTTCTCGAAAACTGCAGGTTCTTGCCGTGATATAACTGTTAACAATCTAACTCTATTGAATGCTAAATTGTTTGTATCAGATTTTGATAGATCAAGTGCCATCACTAGACCTAAAAAGGACATTCCTATTTACCCTATTGGGCCTTGTGTTAGTAGGTCCGACATTACATTTCTGGTAACGTTCAGAATCCACGTCTTTTTTTTCTTTCTTTCTTTTTTTTTTTTTTGGTAGCATGCCGGTATATATTTATTTTTATTCTTTATATTTTATTTTGGAAAATTGATGTTAATATATTCAAATTACTCCATTATGCGCGCATAGTTTCTGAGAAAGTATAAAAAGACTAGGTATTTTCTGGCTTTTGCAGACTTAATTTTGGGCTATCAAATGCAATAATATTCTGGTTGGTAAATGTACCATCAAAAGGGAAGAACCAATACTGCCTCAGGGCTCAGTGTCACAGAAAAGAACGAATTTGCTTGCATCCATACAATTTTTCTTCTGGTGCTCTGTGAGTTTTGATATGCTATACTTATGTATCCACAGGTATTTGTATCTGAGCAAATTGGTTACCGTTCCAGGAGCGTCAGGTGCATTTTTGCGTCTTCTACTTGATCAGGTGATCTTCTAGGGCAACTGGGTATTTGTGGTTAGATGAGCAAAAGATTGTGCGCTTGTCATCATATGACCATAAAGCTAGGCGCTGCTTAATGTGATATAATGTCCTTGCAGTTTCTTTTTGCTCCTACGTTCATTGGAGTTTTCTTATCTACATTGATGACACTTGAAGGAAGACCTTCACAAGTTGTACCCAAGCTTCAACAGGTTGTGTTCTAACTTCAAAGCATCTATTATCTGAGCCCCATCAACACCTTTTTCTGCAATTTCTTTTCTATGAACTTTTGATTCTAAATACTGTTTTGCTTGTGTTGGACTGGCTTTTTTTGTAGGAGTGGTTTTCTGCTGTCGTTGCTAATTGGCGGCTTTGGATACCTTTCCAATTTCTCAACTTCCTATATGTCCCACAGCAGTTTCAGGTTTGATTGCCACTGTGTTTGTTATATATCCTCCCTTTTGTTTTTGGTTTTTTGTTTTGTTCTTTTTTCTTTTTTTTTTTCTTTTTTCTTTTTGAATGTATGGCTCTTAGGAAAGTCTCTTTTAGAATGGATGTGTTATCGAAGCTGAAATTGGTGATAAAGCCGAGCCAGTTCTTGCATTTAAGGCTTCCTCTGCAATGTTTAAGCTCCCTCTGTCAGGGCTGTCCAAATGTTGTGTCCTCTGCAATGTTTATAGTTGTATGGCTCATCTCTTCCCTAATGCAGATCTTTTTGTGTTCCTTTTATTGAGCCTTAACCTTTTGAAGACATTCAACTTTTTTCCTCGCGTTCTCTCTACCAGTCCTCAGTTACCTTTCCATTTTGATTAGTATCAGAATCTTTTATTAATCTGAATCATGAAAGAAGTTTGACATGGGCCCCAGCGAGGAAATGTGTGTGCTGCGCAAAAAAGAACATTTTCTTACCCATGTCTAGGGGTGGCAATTCGTGTTAGTGGGTTGTGCTCGTGTCAACCTGTTTATTAATTGTGTTAGAAAACATCAAGCCAAACACGACATGTTTATTAAACGTGTCAACAATGTCAACCCAAACATGATCCACTTATTAATCGTGTTAATCTTGTCAACCCGTATAACCCGTTTAAATTAATATATTAGATAAATAACTAATATAATAATGACTTATTTAACACGGTCATGACAGGCTTAACATGTTTATTGGTCAATTTATCTTTTTCTTTAAGAAAAATAAATGAATTTTACCTACAAACATTACAATTCACATTATTTGTATTTAATGTCATATGAACTTTTATATTATATCACATATCATTAGATTGCAGATGACACATATAGTTAATCATGTCAATTCGTGTCACTTCAAGTTAGGAGGTCAACCCTAACACAATCCATTTATTAATCGTGTTAACCCGATTACGACCCAAACCTATTTATAGTAAACTCAAACCCGCTAACTTCGTGCGGGTTTCGAGTCGTGTCGACATGTCGCTATCCGGATTGCCAGCCCTACCCATGTCTCTACAGGCATGAGTTTAAAACAGACCCGGGACACATGGTTACCAAAATGTGCTTTTGGGTTGGCATGTGCATTTCCCTTCCCGGTTCAGAGCTCAATTTAGATATAGCAGGGGAAATGGAAAAACAGTTTTATGTGGATGATTGCACACCTTAATTTTATGTTATAGTTGTCATTTCTTTAAAATAAAACTTTGTCTCTGGATATAAATATTGAATCTATTTTTTGTTTTGTTTTAAGAATCAATCTCTTGCCACTTTTCCTCGTAATTTAATTTTCAGGTTTTTATTCTTTAATTTGCTTGTGTTAATTTTTCATCACTGTCAATTTCAGGTCCTTGCTGCTAATTTTATTGCTTTGATTTGGAATGTTATACTGTCTTTTAAAGCTCACAAAGAAATCCTTCCAAAAAAGGTATGCTAAAGTTTACAGTGAAGCACAGAACCTGGTCATGTTATTTAGGCCCCGTAGAAGTTGATCTGCTCAATAAGTGCCCTGTAACTTTTCTGTTTGAAATTGATTATTGGTATTTTTGGGAAAGGAACATTGCTTTCAAGTTATGGGGGAGCTGGATTAATATTTATCAACTGCGACAACTAAACCAAATAAATTGGTATTCCAGTGATCACAGTTACCAATTCCTAATTTTATAATGTTGGAATAAAATGCAAACCTAAGTAAGATAAGGATACATATTGAATATCATCCGAGATAGTAAAAGAACTATTACAATGGCAATGCAGATAGCTTAACTGATTAGGAATTCTTTATGAGTGATACAAATTCTTTCTTGGGCCATTTTTCGAAGATTACGTTGTGCCTGAGAACGCCTTGAAAACACGTCAGAATCATATTGCTGCCATTTTTTTTTTAGGCTTTGAGATTTTGGTTATGAATACAAAGTTCCGAGATAAGAAGGAACTGCAATAAGCTGCTAATTAGGACGTGTTAACAATTATGGCGAATTATCTTAACAAGAAGCTATCTTATAGCTTGGCAAGTAATTGGCTTTGTAGGATTTTCTGATAAGTACATGTAGGAGGTATCAAAATTAGAAACTTTAATATGCTTCTAAACTGTTTGATCCTAACATTTGTGTTTACCTTTCTGTTATTCAAGGTATGATTCCAACTACAACAAATGTATCCTGTTTTGCAACTTCAAGAGTTCTGCCATGTTGGAGCCAAGAAGTTAGAAGCTTCTGTTGATTATAGTTTTTGCTCTCTCAGAATATTTTCTTTCACGGTTGTTCTTTTTTTTTTTTTTTTTTTTTTTTTTTCCCGGTTTTTTTTTTTTTTTTTTTTTTTTTTTTTTTGGAACTTGTTTGCAGATAGACTAATAGAACTAAATTCAATCGTGGTTCTTTTGATTGTTTGCTTATCTATTATCTGATTGCGGATGTCTATATTTCCTATAACGTGGGATCAATATGAGGGTTTATATTAAAGTGATTATGGGCCTGTTTGTTTGCGTTTTTGTTTTCGTTTTTCACGGTTTTCAAAGCAAAAAAATGAAAACGGGTGTTAAGGTGCAATTTTTTTTAAAAAATAAAACCAAAAACGTTTTTGTCTTTTTGTAGAAATCAGAAAACGAAAAAAAGGTGTTTTCATTTTCTCGTTCTCGTTTTCTGTTTTCTGAAAAACAGATTTCACTTTTTTTTTTCTTTTTCATTTTCTTCCCTCTTTTCTAAAACCGTTTTTGTATTATATATGTTTATTTAATATATTTATTTAATATATTATTATTTAATATATTATTACATGTTTTCAAAAATTAAACCACCAAACACAGTTTCAGTTTTTTTTAAAACTGAAATCAATCTCTAAATAAAACTACCAAACGCATTTTTAAAAATAATTCAAAAATGAAACTAAAAACGTTTTCATTTTCATTTTCGTACAGAAAATAAAAACGTTTTGGAACCAATTCCAAACGCACTCTATGATTTTGGTTTTGGAACTAGAATCATAATTCATGGTTTTGGGTCTAAATCATGGTTCTAGAACCAAAATCATAATCAGGGATTTGAACCACTTAAAATTAAGGGAGAAAGTGATTTTAGAACCATGGGTGGTTCTGGTTTAAAACATTACATCAGGGTTTAAATCTTAAACTAGAAATATCCAAATTAAACACTGATTTTGTTGAGTCGAATTAGAACTATTTTTTTATTTTTTGTAAATAAACACTGATTTGAATTAGAATCGTGATTCCGGTTCTAGTATCTTTATACCAAACTCTGATAATTTCCAATTTTGGTTGGATGAAAAATTAGAGTTGGCAAATAACCATAGAGGGAAACTATGTTGAAGTTGGTACATTTGCACCGTTAAAATGTCGTCTGATGAAGCTCACGGATAACTCCTGCTTGAGACGGCTCGCCGGAGCTTATGGCAGGCATAGTTGAAATCAGCAAGTCAAGAGGGAACTTGACATAATCAGTACTGTTTTGTGATTCTGGCATTTGGTTCTAATTGATTGACTCCTTCAAGGATCTCATGGCAGGCAAATATATGTGCGTATTTAATGGGTTGTTAGTTCACACAATTGAATCTGAATTGGGGCGCAAGCTTTGGCAATGACTTTTGACTTGAATAGTATTTGCTTACGAAAAGAAGAAGAAAAACTTGTATTTCTCATATTCAATGAATTTGGAGCTTTTTTATGTCTTAACCAAGTTGACTAGTAAATCTTGAACTATGCATTTTTAAAGGGTATTTGTTAAGATTACTCTAATTTTAAAAAAATTAGAGAATTTACCCTTTAGAGTGAATGAGTCTGGACCTTTAATCATTACTCTTAATAAATACCTTTTTGTTAGTATAATTATTTGACTAAACGTTATGAAGCAATAGTAAAAGGTAAAAATCCTTAATCATGCATTTTCGAGGGGTATTTGTCAAGATTACCCTAACTTCAAAAAAAATAGAGAATTTACCCTTAAAAGTGCATAAGTCTGGACTTTTACAACTTATTCTTGATAAATATCCTTTTGTTAGAGTAATTATTTGACTAAAAAGGTTATGAATCAAGAGTAAATTGTAAAAATCCTGAACCATACACTTTTGAGGGGTAAAGATTACCTTAATTTTGAAAAAATAGAGCATTTACCCTTGAAAGTGCATGAGTCTGGACCTTTACCTCTTACTCTTGATAAAAACCCTTTTGTTAGTATAATTATTTGACTAAAAAGGATATGAATCAAGAGTAAAGAGTAAAAATATTGAACTATGCACTTTCACGGGGTATTTGTCAAGATTACCCTAACTTCGAAAAAATGGATAAATTATCCTTGAGAGTGCATGAGTCTAGATATTTACCTCTTACTCTTGATAAATACCTTTTTTAGTGTAATTATTTGACTAAAACGGTTATAAATCAAGAGTAAATGGTAAAAATCTTGAACCAAGCACTTTCAAAGGGTATTTGTCAATATTACCCTAACTTCAAAAAAATGGAGAATTTACCATTGAGAGTGCATGAGTCTGGACTTTTATCCCTAACTCTTAATAAATATCCTTTGTTAGTGTAATTATTTGACTAAAAAGGTTATGAATCAAGAGTAAAGGGTAAAAATCCTGAACCATGCACTTTAAGAGGTATTTGTGAAGATTACCCTAACAACTTTGAAAAAAATAGAGAATTTACCTTTGAAAATACGTGAGTCTGGACCTTTACCCCTTACTCTTGATAAATATCCTTTTGTTAATATAATTATTTGAATCTACAAAGACGTATGTGAAGGCACACCTGAAACAAAATGGGATTTGCACTAAAAAATACTCAAGTCTTTCATCAATACCAACGCATACACGACGTGGAACTAGGATGAAGAACTTTTGTTCTCTTTTCCTCACTCTATACAACCAGCCACCTAACACTTAGAAAGAGCAAAAATTGTGTTTTCTAATTTTCTGCAATCTCATATTTATAGAGTAGCTATTAGACTCCCAGAGAAAATTTAATCTTTATCTCGAAGATAAAACTTAATAATTATCTCTCATTTTTAATTTATCTTTTGAAAACAAAAATCATCTCTCCTTTATCCTATTATGACTGGCCACCACATGAATTTTATCCCCTGTGGTTGGCGTTTTCTACATATAAGGGAATGAGAAAAAATTCTCTTTTATCATGTAGTCTAATTTTGACTCAAATTCAAATTCTAATTTAAGTCAAACTCTAATCAATTTGAATTCTAATTAGATAACTTATCAAATAAGTCAATTGAATAACTTAGAGAGCAAGCAACCGATTTCTAATGGGATTTACATTTAAATTAGCGCTCTTCACTTGTGATCAACATCACTTGGGTGTTTCAAAATTCAAATTAAGTAATCACGTTATTTAATATTTAATTGATTCTTAATTAATTAATTTGAGTGTTTTATTTAAAATTCTATAATTCTAAAATTCTCACTTTGCCCTTAGTGTCTTGTAGAACTACAAATATGATCCGGAGACTCATGAACCTATAATTCCGAGCTTCAATAAAATTAATAATTAATTAAAACTCTTTGATTATTTAGTTAATTCTATTAATTCCAAAGTTACTCCACTATAAACTTGAAATTGCACTCTCGTAATTATAGATATAATTTACTTCCAAACTGTGAAGTGTCCATTTGATATTGTAATTACATATAGATTAATCATCCATAAATAATTCATAATTAGAGTTAGGTGAAATTCGTTGACCTCTCTAATTACATATTTATCCTTGAGTACCATTAATTTTCAAATGGATGGTGATTCATAAAATAAATTCATGAATTGGAGCTCATATTAAGTCAAGTATCGAATCAACCCTCAAGATAATTATTTATCTGCTTCTTTCTCAAGAAGGAATGGATTCCATCTCATATATTAACATTCTCGACTACCCACTTCATTATGCCTCTAAAATACAAGGAATAAAATTCAGCATTTCAGAATCCGTACTAAGTAAATCAACAGACGCAAATCCATAAATATGAGTATGCTAATACCTTAGGTCGTAGACTCAATTAGAATTTCTATACTTAACAAAAATTATCAAAAATTCATATTGCGTATGTATCTCGGTTTCACATAATCTCATTATGCGTAATGCACTCATTCAATATCTCGTCATATTAATAGTGCGGCGTTCCATTCTAATGGTAATGATATGTATTAATAATATTTTAATTAAAGATTTTAAACTTTAATTAAATTTATTACGAACATCATTTCGATTATTATCCTTAAATTTTATATTCTCTCATATAACACTTATATACAATATTTAAGGTCACATAAATAATCACAGAATTTTCAATGATATTCATAAAATATTCAATAATATATGCACATAATATAATGAATAAGCTCTTTTATTAAATAAATAATAAATACCTTATTACATCTCATTCTTTTAGGACACCATTCTCAATTCCCTAATAGTACAAAATAAATTAATAGCGTCACACTTATCACGAATTACATGTCCGTTAATAATAATATATATGGTTAAATTTTCATGAGTAGTTATCTATTAAATATATAAATTTAATTATGTGATGTGATAATAATTTAATTTAATTAATTATTATACATTTATTTAATTAAATACTTAATTTATCACAAATAATACTCAGGAAGTCACTATTAAAATAATATATATAAATATATGTACACCGGCAAAGAGAGGTGAGGCTTACGGGCATATGTCCCCGTGAATTTTTCGTTTTTCAATTTTTACCTTATAGGTTTCCAATTTTTTTTTTATATACACCCCCTTCATTAACAAAAATTTAAAAATCTCTCCACTAATTTCAAACTAAGAACTCTATAAAATAAAGTTATTTTATCTCTTATTTGCCTTTAGAATTGGTTTTGTTTTCATGATTTTTATTTGTTTTATTTAATTTTTAATTAAGTTTCACTTTGTTTTATTTTATTTTATTTTGATTTTGATTTTAGTTATTTTCCCCTCTAATAGTTTTAATAATCCTTATACGTGTTTTAATCAGGTGAAATGGCAATTCAAAATCGTATCTGGGATTAAAAATGCGTTAAAAATCAAAGAGAAATTCGGATCAAAAGCAATCTCGCAAAACTACATCAAAGCACAATCAGGACCGTCGGATCAGAGTCAGATTCATCCAAGAGCGCGCATTCAGATATGCACGTCAACACCCCTGCCAGCCTGCTAGATTTGGTGCTCCATTGTCGTAGTCTTTTATTTATTTGAGTTTTAATTTATATTTTGTTTTAATATTTTTCTATTTTATTTTTAGTTGTTTAA